TGTCACAATCTCAGCTCACTGTGACCTCTGCCTCCTGGGTTCAAGTGATTCTCCTGCCTTAGCCTCCCAAGTAGCTGGGATTACAGGCACCCGCCACCACACCCAACTAATTTTTGTATTTTTAATAGAGACTGGGTTTCACCATGTTGGTCAGGCTGGTCTCAAACTCCTGACCTCAAGTGATCCGCCCACCTAGGCCTTCCAGAGTGTTGGGATAACAGGCATGAGCCCCCGCTCTCAGCCCATTGCTTCTTTTTTTTTTTTTTTCCTGAGACGGAGTCTCGCTCTGTCGCCCAGGCTAGAGTGCAGTGGCATAATCTCGGCTTACTGCAAGCTCCACCTCCCAGGTTCACACCATTCTTCTGCCTCAGCCTCCCGAGTAACTGGGACTACAGGCGCCCGCCGCCACGCCCGGCTAATTTTTTGTATTTTTAGTAGAGACGGGGTTTCACCGTGTTAGTCAGGATGGTCTCGATCTCCTGACCTCGTGATCCAGCCGCGTAGGCGTCCCAAAGTGCTGGGATTACAGGCGTGAGCCACCGCGCCCAGCCAGCCCATTGCTTCTTTAACTGAACTGAACACCAAGGCTGTGTCCTAGCAAAGGAGACTTTCCTGTAGGAATCACATATCTTTCAGCCAAGTAAGCTTCCTGGGGAAATGCCCTCCATAACCAGTCCTCCATCTGGTGACCACAATACAAATCTTTTCTTATTCTAGGCCAGGAAAGAAGACTTGTGGGTTCTTCACACTGGTCCCTGCCCGTCTGCCCTTCTGAAGTAATGTGGAGCCTCAGATAAGTGACAGCAAGACATTGAGCAAGAAGGGGGAGGAATTATATTCACTCTGCAGGGCTCAGATCACACCAGCAAGACATAGGTCAGTCCTGGATCAACCTGAGCTCCAAGAGAAGATGGAATTTCAGAAAGAAATATCACAGAGGGCCGGGTGTGGTGGCTCACGCCCATAATCCTAACACTTTAGGAGGCCGAGGCGGGCAGATTGCTTGGGGCCAGGAATTCGAGACCAGCCTGGGCAACATAGCGAGACCCCTGCCTCTACAAAAAGTACCAAATGAAAAAAAAAATTAGCCAGGTGTGGTATCATATACCTATAGTCCCAGCTACTTGGGAGGCTGAGGTGGGAGGGTCACCTGATCCTGGAAGGCTAAGGCTGCAGTGAACTGTGATCATGCCACTGTACCCCAGCCTGGGTGACAGAGTGAGACCCTGTGAAAGAAAAGC